CCCCAAAACCCCAAAACCCCAAAACCCCAAAACCCCTAAAAATCTTAGAAATTTTGAAAAATATTTAATTATCAAATCTTAAATGATGAAAAAGAATGTAACTATGAACACGTTCAGTGAGGAGGAGGGTGCTCATTTCTCTCAATTCCAAACCACTTCACATAGAAACAATGAAGGGAAGGTGATATCTCGCACTGCTCTTTACCAAGCCATGACCTTCCTTCTGACCTATTTGTCTTACGCAGGATTACATGTGACTAGAGAAGGATGGTCGATTCTTAAATAAGGACATCGAATCTGCCAAGTCTCCAGGTCTCAACTGGGAAGGCACCCAGTACATGGGATACCTTGACTTCTGCTTCCTCATAGCGTACTCTGTAGGACTCTTTATTAGTGGAAATCTGGGTGATAGATATCCTGTGCGGGTTATTGTCCCAACCGGCTTCTTTATCATAAGTATTATGACATTCATGTTCGCCATGGGCGGAAGCTGGGGAATCTCCAGCTACTGGTACTACATGGCATTCTTTACTATGTCAGGCTTCTTCCAAAGTATTGGATGGCCGGCTTTTGTCCCTGTGATGGCCAACTGGTTCTCGAAGAAATACAGAGGTCTTGTTTTAGGCATTTGGTGCACATGCCAAAATTTCGGGAATATTGGAGGAGCACTTCTGGTAAATATACTTAGAGGATATTTTGGCATGAACTGGATCCTCTGTTTTAAGGTCATAGCAGTAATCATACTTATACTTGGCTTTTTGAACCTCTTCTTTCTCATTGGTGAGCCTTCAAATGTTGGAATTGATATCGATACTACTGAAGAACTAAATAGTTCAAATCATAATATTGATGTCAAAAATAATATTGACGAAGAAGAACGGATCTCTCTTGATAAAAATAGTGAAGCTGATCCTCAAGAAGATGTCAAAGCAGATCAGCATCTCCAACCTATTGATAAGATAGATAGCTCCTCTCGAAAGATGTCTGAGAAAGTTCAAGAACCTAAAGTAGGGCAAAGAGCTATTTCATTTTGGAAGGCGTGGACAATTCCAAAAGTAATCCCATATGCTATCTGCCTCGCCCTGGTGAAACTATCTACCTATGGGATCTTATTATGGCTCCCTGTTTATGCAGATGAAGCATTACATTACAACAATGCTGCTATTGGATATTTAGCAGTCACATATGATATTGGAACAATAGTTGGAAGCGTTGTCTTAGGAAAAATTAGTGATATCGTTTATCACAAAAGGTCTCCCGTAGCATTCTTTGGTTGCTTATCAGGGGCTATCTTCTTTATACTTGTGATCTTAACTCCAGGTTACATCAATATCATAATATTCTTTGTCGGCTTCTTCGTAGGAGGGGTTTTCAATGTGGTAGCAGCAACAGCTGCTACTGATATAGCTAAGAGTAATGCAATGGATCCTAAAGATAAAGCCTTATCAACAATTAGTGGAATTAATGATGGATGAGGCAGCATTGGCTCAGCCTTTGGATCCCTTATTATTTCCTCAATCAGAGGATTGTCCTGGAACGGAGTATTTATTTTCTTGGCTTCCTGTGTCTTAATTGCTTCTTTACCAATCTTAAGAGTTGTAATTAATGAAGTTAAGGAGATTATTCAGATTCGAAAAGAAAAGAAGGAAGTAAAATAAGGATCTTTGCTTTATCCTATAACCTAGTTATGATAATTTATTGTAATTATTACTACAAAACAATCAAAGTCGGTCCTAAACTTAGTCTATTTCAAAAAAACAGAAAGATCGATATCATCACAAAATGGATGCCATCGATGGACAAAAAATTCAATTTTCCCTCTATAGCCAGGGGTTTTGGGGTTTTGGGGTTTTGGGGTTTTGGGG